GGGAGAAGACGAGAAGGGAAGACGAGCAGAGAAGACGAGGAGAGAAGACGAGGAGGAGAGAAGACGAGGAGGAGAGAAGACGAGGGGAGAAGACGAGAAGGGAAGACGAGGAGATAAGACGAGGGGACAAGACGAGAAGGGAAGACGAGGAGATAATCAGGGAAGACGAGGGGAGAAGAGGAGAGAAGACGAGGAGACCATTTCCGGCTCCAGCTGTTAGAGGGAAGACGAGGAAAGAAGACGAGGAGAGAAGACGAGAAGGGAAGACAAGGAGAGAAGACGAGGAGAGAAGACGAGGAAAGAAGACGAGGAGAGAAGACGAGGAGAGAAGACGAGGAGAGAAGACGAGGAGATAAGACCAGGGGGAGAGAAGACGAGGAGAGAAGACGAGGAGAGAATCAGTGAAGACGAGGAGAGAACACGAGGAGAGAAGAGGAGGAGAGAAGACGAGGGGAGAAGTCGAGGAGAGAAGAGCTCGCCTGCTAATGACTTCTCAGAGGCTCAGTCCAACAGGAGCTGCACGGCGGGGTGCCTGCAGATGCCATTGTCTCTTCCTTGTTAGGAGAGATCACGTCTTCAACGTTCCCTCGAGAATCGGTGTAGGCGTTAAGCGTCACAGCGTTTGCAGTGCTTCTCAGCGCCGCAGCATGCAGCCATGGCCTAAGCGCTTGCCAGGGACTGGTCGGCCGGTCAGGGTGCCGACAAGTGAGACGAGGAGAGAAGACAAGGAAAGAAGACGAGGAGAGAAGACGAGGAGATAAGAAGGAGATAAGACGAGGAGAGAAAACGAGGAGAGAATCAGTGAGGACGAGGTGAGAAGACGAGGAGATAAGACGAGGAGAGAAGACGAGGAGAGAATCAGTGAAGACTAGGAGAGAACACGAGGAGAAAAAAGGCCCGACCTGTTCCGGCAAGATGTGATTTCCAGACACTCCATTCTGGTACTGTGCAACCAGGTGTGATTTCTGCGGACGCACCTGCTGGGGAGGTGGCATTTCTATCGCCAGGAGCGCAAAGAGCGAGACCAAGGATCAGGGAACCCCGGATGCTGGTGATAGAGTCATAGAGGGGAACGGTGTTAGCCGGACCCTGGAGTAACGTGCGTAGTGTTTTACTTCCTTGCGTTACAGTTTCCTCTTTCCGCATTGATATGACATTTCATTTTGAGCGGATTTTTTGAACTGAGTGCCTTCAGGCCATCGGCCAGTGGTGCAGCGCATTTTTCCATCCTTGCGTTGCTCAAGGGTTACCAGCCATATTGTAAGGGTGGGTTCTGTGGAGGTAAGCGTGTGTGCCGGTTTGGCGCTTGTTTTGACAAAGGCAGACCCCGAGTATTTGTGGTGGCAGTTTGCAATTTTTGCTCTTAAGCGGGTGCCGAGTGAAGTGGTTTTTGCGTGCGGTTGAGTGTTCGCCTGCTAATGACTTCTCAGCGGCTCAGTCCAACAGGAGCTGCACGGCGGGGTGCCTGCAGATGCTATTGTGATTAGCTTGCCTTTCTCACTCAAAGATTGTAGGAGAGATCACGTCTTCAGCGTTCCCTCGAGACTTGGTGTAGGCGTTAAGCATCACAGCGTTTGCAGTGCTTGTCAGCGCCTGCCGCAGCATGCAGCCATGGCCTAAGCGCTTGCCAGGGACTGGTCGGCCGGTCAGGGTGCCGACAGGTGAAGCCTTGCCATCCGCGTCTTCTGCGGCAGTCCAGCGGGCCACTGTGCGCGCAGAAGCGACAGCCAAGAGCCGCAGCAGAAAGAGAAAGGCCGCTGCGGCGGCGCCAGACAGTTCAAAGTCGCAGGCGACGAAGAGGGTACGTTCGAGTTTTGGCGCTCGAGATGCTGCTCTCGATGTCGGTGCGGTGGCGCAAAGGCTCGCAGCGGGCCGCTCAAGCCGCAACTACGTGCTTCTACTCCATACCTCTTTGCTCAGTGCGATCTCGACGGAGCAGTTGACTTCTCTGCCTGCCGTCCGTGGTTTGACAGCAACATGGCAAGGGCAGGATGTCCTGGTGCTGGATTCTTTCATGGTGCGGGGTTGCCCAAGGAATGATGTGGCCATTCTTCGTCTTGCGGCCGCTGGGCAGTGGGTGCTCGGAGATGTCGTAACGTGTAGGTCAGCAGAGTTGTCCAGTGTGCGCTTGCAGCACGAGGTTGTAGAGGTGGCGCGGGGCCGCGTGGTCGTGAAAGAGTTCTGCGATGCTGCCGATCCTGCCCAAGCAGTGCACCGCGCCAGGGCCAAGGCCACTGAGGCTGCATCTGTTTCTGAAAGCAGGACGCTTAGCTGGATGTCAGCGCAGCCGCAGCCGCTCGCTCGAAGATCGCTGAAGCCAGCAGCTGCAGAGCTGCATGAAAAACGCTTTCCGGGTCACCGGGCAGACCGTCAGCGCTTTGAGTTTACACTAGATGTGCCTTGCCCCCAAATTTGGGATATGACCCCGTGGCGGTGCCGCAGCTGCGACTCCGAGACTTGGCAGGTGACACCTGCCGACATGGATGCCGAGTGCTCTCGTTTGGGCCTAGGCGCAGTGATTCGCTGCGAGGATACTAGGCACGGCAAGGTGTCTGCCTCTCCCTTGCTTCTGTTTTGGCTGCTCTTCATGTTGTACAGCAACTTAAATTTGCATGCAGTGCGAAGGAAGCTACTGGATCTGTATTCAGCCTCCGTGCTGCATGCCGCCCAGATGACTCCGTCCCTTTCAGAAGCAGCGCAACTACGTTGGATTTTGATGTGCGTCCCAGACCACCATGCCATTAAGGATATATTGCTGAAGTGCTTTGAAGGTTACGTGCAAAAGAGAGTGGATCTGCGGCAGTGTGTCTAGAATGGGCAACTGATCCGTGGAGACGGTAACTATGATCTTGTGAAGGCTGTTGTCTCTATGGTTGATGGTAAGAGGACGCACAGGTACTCCGTTGCTTTGGGCTGGCGCGGGGTCGATGGCAGCTTGTTGGCGCCGGTGTCCTTGGCTGAAGCGGAGTCCTGGCCCTGCGTTGAGGCGTCCTTGGGCCCGCTGTTAAGGAAGATCAAGCGCGCCCGGCTGCAGGCCGGATTCAGCTTAGAAGAGTCTTTGCCGTGCTTCCATGCCACGGACTCGTATCACAAGCATCGGCAAAAGCTTTGCAAGCTCTACGGCCGTGTGTGGCAGGATCTGCGGGTAGAGGGACGGGCGCCCACCCGCTGCAAAGATGCTTATGGTAAGATTGCCGTTGCTTCCGAGGATGGTAGCCTTGCTAGGTGGCTGTTTCGTGTCACGGGGGAGCCCATGCACGATTTGTTTGCTCTGCGCCGCATTGCGTCCCCAGCCGCGAACGATTGCCGGTGCTTTCTGAAGGACCACGAAAGTGTGATTCTGAGGCTCAACGCTCCTCCTCGCCCTAGTCAGGCGGCATCTGGCGCCACGGCCGCAGACTTGGCCGTCACGCACGCAGCTCAGGAGTTATTGCGCGCGTGTGTGAAAGAATCGGCGGCAAAAGTGGCAGAGGCGGTGGCGAGTGCACCTGCAGAAGCGCAGGAGCTGCGTGCGCTGCTTGCTTGCGAGAACGGTCAGGACCACGAGGTTTGGCCCGCCCTTTTCAAAGCCGCTCCTCCGCATGGCGTGCTTGCGCGCACAGCGAGGCTGCTGGGGGCAACGCTGCCGGCCAAGCACGGGTACTACAATTATCAGAGCAAGGAAGACTTTCTCGATGAGGTTCGGCGCATGGAAGCGTGGTATCGGGAACCTAGGAGGGACGCTAGACGAAGACGTGGCATTGATCGAAGGCAAGTTCCATCCGCGGAAGTGAAAGGGAGAGCGAAAGTGTGGACTGCAAAGGTTGCAGCTCATTATTCGCGCCTCCGCGCGCCTGTCAGGCTGCAAGGCCTCATGCGCTGGCGGGAAGCTGCTTTAGCGCTGCACGCAGCAGGCATTGAGTCGCACTCTGGGACAATCCCTGTTGAGCGGCTGTGGGCGAACATCGGCAGGTTCATTCCAAAGGAAGCAACCAACATCAGTGAGGCTTGGTAGTCTTTCCTATCCAACCTGGCATTCTTGCGATTCAATTACCGCCACTTCCACAAACATGGATTGTGTGGGAAGATACGCTGGTGCACGAACAGGTAGAAGGCGTCATGAAGTTGGCGGAGGCGGTCTTGTTCGGAGGCGAGGAGTCGTTGGCCGTGGAGCTGGGCGCTTGGGCAACTAGCATGGGCTGCGGTCAGCCAAGTCCAGTGTCGAAAGGGCAAGATGATGTGGCGGAAGCCGCGGGCACGCCAGACTTGTATTGCCGAGTGCTAAAGCCAATGTGGTGCCGCGCCTTGGCGAGCGGAGAAAAGATGTTTGAGGCCCAGAGCTACAGGGAGAAAAAAGGCAACGCCATGAAATTCGCCAAAGCTGGAGTGTGGGTTTTGTTTGGAGAAAGCGGCTCGGAGCAAGTGGCTGGGGCTGCAAGCTCGCCGAGATCCAGGGCCGTGTGGGCTCTTTGCCTCAGCACTTGCAGGCCCCTTTCTCCGAGTACATAGCAGGGGCAGTTAAGGTTGATTTGGTTGACGTGCAGATCGTCTATGACCTGAGGCCTCTATCTTTGAGCTGGGGGCAAGTAGCCGCCATGTTGAAATGCAAAGTGTCCCGCAACATCGGTTTCACCAGAGTGAGATGCCAGGATGAAGCAGCTTGGCAGCGGTTCCGCGAACTCGTGGCAGACCAGAGGGTCCCGATTCGGGAGGGCCCGCCGCGCGCGTAAGCTTCGCGGCCCGTGGTGCAAAAGAAAGCGGCCAAGTTGCAAGCCCGGGGTGCTGAATGCTCAAGGGTTTCCACAAGGCTACCATTTGCTTGCAGCGCCTCTTGTGAGTTTCGCAAGGCACCTTGTGGCACAAAGGCTGCTTTGCTTTGCTTGCGTTTAGGGCAAGAAAGCGGGCTGCTGCATGATGCCCTGGGCATGGAGTTGACATTGCGTCCCAGCTCGTGGCTCCTAGGCTGAAGTGGTACGACCGACCAACGCGATCGCACGGCAAGTGCCTGCGAATACTCAGCAATGCTCGAGAGCCCCGAGGAAAACACACCGAAAACGCCGCAGCCTGTGCCTCGTGAGACCGAGTCGCCAAGTGGTACGAGCGACCAACGCGATCGCACGGCAAGTGCCTGCGAATACTCAGCAAGGCACGAGAACCCCGAGGAAAACACACCAAGAACGCCGCAACCTCTACCCCGTGAGACCGAGTCGCCCGACGCATTCTCTTCGCAGCGCTCGCCTGGCGCGCCCAAGATGGAGGATCAGCATTTTGGGCTCAGATTCCAAGATTCTGCAGCAGCTGGCGCGAAGTGGATTGCTGCAAACCAGCACGCTGATCACATGCAAAACCTTCTCAACAGCCTGGGGGTGGCCAATGATGAGTTAGCCGCGCGCAAGCTCCTCTTCTCGGACAACTTTGCTACCGGGATGGGTACAGCCAAAGACACGGCTTCTACCGTTAAGGACTGGCCGCGCATGGTGGCAGACGAAGAGCGTGGTCACAGAGTTGTCAGTTCTGACATATCCTTCGACCTGAGGCGCTGCCTGCCCGCGCCTTTCATGCAAGCAGTGAAGAGCCTTAGCGAAGGGAACGGCTTGCGCGACGAAGCCTTGGCCTGGTGCTTCTATGCTAACATAGCATTTCTAAAGCACCATGGCCGACGTGTTGGCCACAAGTCAGGAGAGCGCACTGAGGCGCCCAACATCCCAGTGCTAGTGGGAGGTCCCCCGTCTTCAAGGAAGACTTGCTTGATAGCCATGACGACCGACTTCCTGTTGCAAGCGCCCGAAGCGCCCCAGTTGATGCAAAAGCGGGAGTGCATCATCGCTGATGCCACCGTCGCTGGCATCCGCTCAGCAATCTTCAATTACAACAGAGCTGCGGTTGTCGCAGATGAGGCTTCCAACGTCTACGAAACTCCTTGGTCAGAGAAGGGGTCTGGGGGAATCCATTATTTGAGCAAGGCGACACCCATATCTCTTTCTTCACAAGGTGGCAGGCCAAACCGAGATCATCGAGTTCATTGCGCAGCCTGTTGCGCACGGCTTCAACAAGCGCTTCAACCTTGTCTTTGCGCCAGAAAGGTCCCCGGAGTCGGCTGAAGTCCACACTGCTAGCGCGAAGGCCTTCTTCACACAGCTACACACTTGGCTGTGCAAGAATGCTTGGGGCACGGAAGGCAACCACTACTTGGACGGCTACGCGTTGACCTGCTACCAGAGTGTCAAGCAGGCAGCGGAAGACTTTATGGAAGAGAGAGGCGGCCAGCTTACCAAGGATGCGTGTCGCAAAGTCCGGTTCTGGTCCACCGACGTGCTCGCCTTGCCCATGCAAACATGCGGATTTGTCAGTTCTCAGTGGTAGAGTACGGGGGCAAAGACGTGGCTCGAACAGAGGCAGCCAGAACCCAGCCAAACGTCTATGAGTTCATTTTGGCGGTGAACATGTGGCTCCGGCAGCTGCATGTGCACTTCAGCTTCTACAAGTGGTTCCGGCACATGTCAGATCAGAGACCGGGCGGCTCTACTAAGGATCTCACTGCTGCCATGGAAAGAGCTGACGACGGTGAAGAGCGCAGCCGACTCAAGGCTAACTTGTCGGCCGAGGATCGCCTGAGGCACGAGATTTTGGTGCACGAAAAGGCCGCGGTTGGTGCAAAGATTGCCGGTGACCAAGTCAGGCTGTGGCTCCGCAACCAAATCTGGTTCAAGAAGCAGCGCGTCACAGCCGACCAGATCAAAACTGTTTTGGCAGATTTGCACAAAGCTGGCTTGATGGATTCTGACAGCTCCCCTGAGGCGGACACACAGTCTCCACTTGCCAATGTTGCGGAGGCAAAGCGCAAAACTAAGAAAGGCATCAAGCCGGTGGTGTACATTAAGAAGTCTGCTCGGGAGATTGGAGGCAATGCAGATGCAGAAGCAGCCCGCACGCGGCTCCTGGTTCCCATCAAGTACTTCTGAGGGATGCTTGAAGCAGGCGCACGCTTCCGGGCCGGAAGGGTATGACCGATCGGCCTCGAAGGACGCGGCAGTGTGTATAAGAGGTCAAAAGCGAGGCGGCGCTTCACGCGAGACAGAAAACAGACAGACAGGCAGGCAGACAGACAGACAGACAGACAGGCCATTCGGGGCGCGCTGTGGGTTTGAATGCGGTTCGGCTGCGGATGACTTGTGACGCCTGCCATTTTGAGCTCTGGGCTGCGAGCAGCGCACGTGGTGCGATAGATCGCTCCCATGTACTGAAGTCCGCTGCAGATCTGATAAGACAAATGCCTTGCTCAGTTGCATCCGCCATGCATTAGTCGGTTTCCGTGTTTGATAGAACAAGTCCGGTGCAGATCTGATAAAACAAATGCCTTGAAGGTCTGTGCGCTTGAGCGGAGGTGAGCAGACCTCGCAGATAGTAAGAACCCACGCTCAAGTGCATCCGCCATGCAGTGCACACATGCTCGCAGATGGTAAAAGCCCACGCTCAATTGCATCCGCCATGCATCCATTTGATTTGGAGATTAGTGGGTTCTGGTGTTTGTTTCTCGTAGTTCAAGCCATAACCGCAATGCGGTCTGGGCGATTGTTTTCATCACCCATCCCACCCGTGTGTCCAGTAAGTGGGGAGCGAATCGTCCCATTTTGTAAGCATACCCGCTACTGGACACTAAACAGACTTGGTTATGGATTGAACTGCCTTTAGTTAAGGAGTAGGGTAGTGGTTCCTATATAAGATATGCTTCACCCCGCCTCCGTAATTCGGTCTAGGTCGTTTTGTTAATAGCGACCTATCCTGACCGGGCAGTGGATGTGGTGGGAGCGAACGGGGCTCACATAAGCAAACCACCCATCCACTACCAAAAAGTGAGGGTTGGAAGCGGGGTCTAGGCCCGTGAGTGCTTTTTCTTTTTAGGCACGTAACATAACAACAAATAAAATTAAAGATACTGCGGATAGAACAAGTCCGGTGCAGATCTCATAAACAAATTCCTTGAAGGTCTGCGCGCTTGAGCGGAGGTGAGCAGACCTCGCAGATGGTAAGAACCCACGCTCAAGTGCATCCGCCATGCAGTGCACACATGCTCGCAGATGGTAAAAGCCCACGCTCAATTGCGTCCGCGCCACCGTGCCAATAGGTGCGCCCGCTGCGCGCCTCACGCGGTCGCAGCGCTTACCCCTGCGCAACGTGGCAGCGTCGAGGCGTCGCCCCCCGCCACAGCGTCGCAGCGTCGCAGCGCCGCCGCCCTCGCCGCAGCGTCGCAGCGTCGCAGCGTCGCAGCGTCGCCCGCCTCACTGCGGCGTCGCGGCGTCGGCCCTCCTGCCGCAGCGTCGCAGCGTCGGAGCGTTGCAGCGTCGCCCCGCCTGCCGCAGCGTCGGAGCGTCGCAGCGTCGCAGCGTCGCCCCTCCTTCCGCAGCGTCGGAGCGTCGCAGCGTCGCAGCGTCGCCCCCCGCCCGAAGCGTCGGAGCGTCGCAGCGTCGGCTGCCCTACCGGCCCCCTTTCCCCCTGCACTGCTATTCTGTTTGAGTTGCCCGGAAGTTGCGATTATTGGAAGGATGAGAGACTGCATGAGGTCATTCATGATGGCATCAGTCATGATTTTGATGGGTGTCGCTACGGATTGAAGCAAAGGTACGCGAAGAAACCTCTGCCAATCAAGAAACCGTGGAGAGTTGTTTCCTGGAACTTTGATCTTGGAAATTCGTTGTCTAAGAAATGTAACGGGAACCATGAACATGGACCTTGTGCTGGTCGGGAAACTAAAGAAACCCAGTTATACACGTCATTGATTGTGAGTGTGATCCTCCGGCGTTTTCTTGCTCGAGCAAAGTGCCTTCAACAGGCGCGATTGAAACCTGCTCTCGCTTGCAGAGTGTGGGGGAATCCACGTCGGCGACAGACTGCTGCGTGTGAGAGTCACATCACTTCGACTGCACCAAGGAGGTTCCGGGCCAGACCCGGACCTCAGGTGTCAGCTGGGTGCATGTCGGACCCATTCAGGTATCATATATATTGCTGCCTATTTTGGGTTTTCCTGGTTTTGGAGAATATCATCAAGATGACTGCCAACGCGTCCGTCGTCAACGCGAATGAATTCTTCTGCGTGCTTGTTGGGAAGTCCAGACAAGCGGCGATATTCCTGGGGAACCTCGTCAAGAATGCCGTTGACGAAGGCAAGCGAATTCCCAGGAGAATGGAGATGAGCAGTGATCTGGGTACATGCATCAAATGTGTCGAGGACATCGGCGTCCCCGTCATTTATGCTTACTCAGCGTATTACTCTGCGAAATGCCGTGGTATGATGAAAGGTGAGGGGCAATCCATGAGGGTCGCATTGGAGTTCCTCAGCAAGATCTTCGGGCTACTCTCTGCCGATGAATGCATGTTGGGATGGAGAGAATTCTGCAGCAAGGGAAAGAAGATAGTGGCGGCACTGAACCAACTCTGTGGGGAGGCATCGCTGCTAGCGAAGAACCCTGAACTGCTGGACGTCACCAAGTACTGCATCGAGGGGTCCGACATGCTGAGATCCATTGCGGATATCTGGGACCTCGCTTCAGGTGTGGCCGAAGACAACGAGGAGCGATCTTTTAGAGCTGCATTTCACCAAGACAGTGTACAAGGAGCTTGTCAACAACGTGCCGAACGGTTCATCATCATCAAGGCGGTGGAGGAGTACGGAAGAGTTCATGACGACTGCCGAGCTCGAGAGGGCCGATCGAAGAGTCGCGAAATTCAGGGATCGGAATTGAGCGTTATCAAACCTCCCAAAGTTGACTCTTACGGGCGAGGCACGAAAGCCGACTACCAGAAGAACTGGGACCTCGGATTGGTCTACCAGAATGAGCTGCGCATGTCGATGAAGAACCTGGCGTTTGCGATGAGGAGGGATGAGCGAGCGCATCAGCATAACCTTTTACGCTGGATGATTTGCGGGTCAATCCCCAATGATATCTCAGACGCATGCATCGGGGCGGTGAACTCACTTATGTGCGTATCCTTTATCCTGAGGAGGTTGCAGCCGTTGGTCGGAGAGAAGAACGTTTCAGATCAGTCTTACATGACCTGCTTTAGGACGAACAAGTCTGAGTTGAATGACCTATACCGGGAGATCGAAACAGCAAGGGACTTCTTGTGGTGTATCGAGATGATCTACAAGTCCACGCTGCCCGCGATGAACATCAACTCCATCAGCTTGGCGCCACATGCAGCAGACAGAGTTGCGGAGAACCAAGATCGGCGCAAATGGGTTACGTGGCTGAAGGATATTGAGAAAGAAGCAGAGAAGAGTCATGTGACTGACTTCGATCAGAACAACTACTGCACCCACAATGAGAAGGACAGGGAGCTGGAGAGGTACCCTGAGGATTTCGCCGTCGGTGAAGAACCGACATGGTGGGTGATGGGCTCATCAAAGACAGAGCCACCGCGGAGGACAGAGCGGCAGCAGAAATCATCATCCAGTTCTGGACGAGGACAGCAGACTGCTGGCGGGTCACACCCACAGCAGGGAGCATCGAGTGGATGGACGTCTGCCGAAGATCCCAACAAGATTGACAATGAGATCATCGACTCCATCTTTCGAATGAACTCTGGCGGCGACGACGACAGGTGGGTGATCACCAGCGCTACGACTGGGCATGAGACGTATACCTCATTCGAAGGGGGTGTCACTCTGGGAGGCTCGACTGTTCAGGTGAAGTTTAACATTGACGCCAACACCGGATATCCAATCGTGCAGACAGTGTTCGGACCATGTCTCGCCGAGGGAAAGAATGCGACATATTGGGAGTGCATGTTGAGAAGTCTGACATCATCACTGGTGCACTTCGAAGAGAAGACTAGTGCTGAGAAGATCATCCTCTCATATGTCGGCAAAAGCAACACTGCTTGGCTGCAGCTTTATGCATTCCTATGCGCCCAGACAGGATGCTTGATTACAGGGCGCCTCCCAGGCGCCAAAGCCATCAATGCGTTAATCCAGGCGGAGAAGAACCCTGACAACGCTCCTGCGCGTTTGAGCCGAATCATCCAACAACAAAAGAGACGACGCATCAATGGGGATGTGATCCGCGACATGATGATTCAGAAGAAGAGTTTCCTTGTCCTGGATTGGCCCATGAGAGCCGTCAATGCGAAGGGAAGCACGAAGACTTTCCAGATGATGGTCAACGAGCAGGGATGGACGAACATCGAGGAGAGATCGTGTTACGGGTCGAGCGAGCCAGCCTCATCGAACCCAGACACGGTGAACATCATCTCCCGATTGCAACAGCTGGAAAAGCTCATCGTCGAACGACGGAGGCGTGATTCGGATGATTCGCATGTATCGGTGCACATCTGGATGTCGCTCTACGATTGGATGTGCATGAGAGGTTGTGGGTGGCAGGTCACCACCAGACCCATCATCGACTCCCTATTGAAGACGGTGTCAGACCTCGTCAACGTATGCAAAGGAATGGTCATTGTATGCGTGAACCGCGATGTGGCTTTCCACGGTGGAAGAGGGGACTTGGGTACAATTGCCAACAAAGTGAGCGAAATCTGCAAGGCTGCAGGTGCGTTGGTGACCGAGAATGACCACATGTGGCGCGTTGCTCATGCGCTAGCGGGCAAGAACTACAAGATCCCCGGGAGCTCGAATTTGCAATACGAGAAGTCCATTGATGCGCTCGCACCAAACCTGGAATTCACCAACAAGCTAGAGGAGATTTGCATCGGCGAACCAGATCTTCAATTCAATATCCCAAAGAACATGGAAGAATCGAAGGTCAGGTTTGAATACAAGCCGACGTTCACAGCGCAATCGAAGAGGAAGCAGGAGCGCCAGAACGAAGGCCGCAGTGAGACAGACGCATTTGGGAACATCGATGCCAATGATATTCGCCTACGTTGGTATACGGTCTCCGAGATCGGCGATTTCATCTGCGAGGTATGCAAGAGGGCAGAGGTCTAAATCGAAGGTGCTCGAGTC